CAGAAGGGAAAAGCGGTTAGGAGGGACCGGGGTGAAGGAAGCATTGTGCCAGCCTGGCGTTTTAAGAGCAGTTAATCTCTCTCTCTCTCTCTCTCAATATTTTCCTTCTTTGTGAAGGATGCATCGGAGAGCGATGCTTGGGAGGAGCGGGGCATCAAGAGTGACTAATAGTAAAACGGACACCCAGGGAAATATTGAAGTTAATATTCTGAGCTCTTTGGGAAGGAGCTGTAGTGAGGGCAAAGGTTCAAAAGATCAGGGCCAGGGTGGTGGACTTGTCTCTTTGTACACAAGTGCCTGTCTAGATGAGCTGTGCAAGCAGAGGAAAAGATTCCTCCAACAATGTTTGCAGGTGGGACTCCAGTCCATTACTTCTAGTTTATGCAGCCTGGTGGATTTTCATTCCAACCCGTTTTGAAATCTTTAATGTGAAATATATCCCCTCACCCTCCCTTGCTAAGAAAAGCGGGGAGGGGGGAAAATGGATTGAATCTTGCCGGAAGACTCAAACTTTGTCAGTGCATGCAGTTTTTTTTTTTCCTAAAGTGGTTATCTAAATGTTAATTTTAGTGAGAGGAAGAAATAGAGATGGCTTTGCTGGCTTACAGGTGAACAATATAATATCCACAATCCAGAAGCATGCTGTGGAGTTTTAGTTCATCACAGGTGATCTTAGTTTGTACTATCAGTCAGTCTGAAAATGGTTGTTTTTTTTTCCCCTCCCTCTCTGAACTGACCCACTTTATTGCCCAGGGCGGGGGGGGGGGGGGCACTAAATTTAAAAATCAAATAATTTTGGAGTGTTTGAGAGAGGATGGGTGAAGAAAGGATGCACAATGTATTTTGAAAGGAAATATGTGAATTTTGAAAGGAGTTGCATTTAAAGGGTCATCTTGTTAACACACTTGATCTTTCCATGTTGTAGTGGTTACAAGATAATCCTTCTCCATTAGAAACAATTCCATTAGAACTGTTTCTGAGCTGTGTTTCGAGATACAATCACTTGTGTTATGGATATTGTGGTTTGTGACAGAAAACTGCAAAATCAGACCATTCAAAGTAAAGGCTGATACTGTGGCATTGCATTGTGCTGTTCTGTAGGTAG